AGGTAATTGCTTCGCTTATCTCTTCGCCAATAGCGTGTTGTTCGCGCAAGCCTTCCCTAGATATGCAATTAGTGACTGTTGTTGAGAATGAGCGATTTTGGGTATGACGTACATGACGTCGTCGACCTTGTCAATAGTTAGGCCAGCATGTATCTGCTTCATGGCGGCACCAGCATTCTTCATGGCATCCAGCGTCTCCTTGTTGATATTCGCCGACTCGATGGAGTAAATCTGCTGCTCAAGAGTCATGATCTGGGAGCTTGTCTGCTCGAGCGAATGCTCAAACTGCTTCTTTCGCCGTAATGCGGATTTGGCAGCTGTGGTGACTGTCAGCGACGTTATCTGGGGGAGCAACGGGCCCGGAATGCACGTACCTTGCTTGTTGGTAGAGACGTACTTTCGCGCCAAGGCATCCTGCTCGTCCATTTGGTTTTGGAGATGCTTCTCTCTCTTGTTCAGCATCTCGAGCTGGCCGCGAAGCTGAAGGATTGCCTTCTTGGGGGCCTCCTTCTTCGCCTGGCCGCCGCCGAACCAGCCCAGACCCCAGCCGCTCATAATTTCGTAGCTCTAGATGTCTCGATCAGCTCTGGACTTATCGCACGCTGCGCTCGTGGGCTCAGATAGGCGCTTCGGGTGCCTATCGAAGAGTGGGATGGCGGGGCTGCGGGGCGATGCGCGGCTTGGACGTACTGTGTGGAATATGAAGAAATTATCGGAGGAGTCGTTGAGAGAAGAAGATTCGTGCGTGTTTGTTGTGTTGGTGGTGCGGTGGTGAAGTGTTTGAGGGCTGCCTGGCTGGTCATGAATCGGGCCTGGATGCACGAGGGTATGATGTCGCTCGCACTAACCTTGGCACGTGCACAACAGACCCCGGCCTTAGTTTCCACCGCCTTCTGTGCCTTCAACCACCATGTCTTCTGCTCCGCCTGCCTCGAGCCTTGTGCTGCTCAGCGACCTCCCAAAATGCGCGCGGGGGACAAAAGTCCGCTTCCTGGGCTGGTACATTGCGCCCGTGAGACTAACACACGCAGCAGCTGACACTGATGCAGTATCGATGAGTACACTGTGAAGACGGCAACCTTACGCCTCAAACACAACTATCCCGTCCTTGCCGACCCTGTTATTGCCTACCTAGATATTGAACATGTGCTGGAATGCGCCAAAAATACCGACGTGGATGTTGGCACCTGGCTCAACGTCATCGGCTATGTGCAGCAGACAAAGCGCAAGGCAGTCTCGGTTCAGGCCGTCCTTATCTGGAATGCTGGCAATGTTGACTTGGAAGCCTACCAAAGCGCTATCCAGGCTCGCAAGACTGCTTCGTGAGATTCACTATGGCCATGATTTTTCTCCTGCAATGGTGCTACATCAACGTTGGTGCAGGTGTTGATGTGGGATGCCGATCATCGAGTCCGCCAGAAGCAAGCGCGACATATACGCTATCGCATTGTAGACGCACGCCTAAATATGGCGTGCTTGACCGAGACAAGTCCAAAATTAGCATAGATTTGGATGATCAATCCATGCGTGCTGGCCTCAAGCCAAACATGGTCATCTCGACGACTACGACTGTTTCAATCATCATGTGCTGGCAGTAAAGAATCACGTGATTGAGACTGCAGTCTGATTCTGCGCACTTTGTACCATGATTCTTAACTTTTCTTTGGAGCAAATACCTGAAAGAATAAGTGATAGAAAGACAAAATTGCGGTCATGGGAGAAAACGCAATAACTACCACCTCACGACAAGCTGAGTTTGCAATATCCAATTACTACATTCTTGCCTAGTCTCATCTCCACACCCGTGCGCTTGAACTGAACGTTGAGCGAAGTATCACAACTTCATAGTTCACTTGTTCACGTGGCTCAGTACAACTTCCAGCGGTTTCTTTTCCTACTCAGGCTTTAGCAATCACTTCATCAAGAATCCAAAACGACACACTTACCCAAAGAATATAGGTACTTTGCTCGCCCCAGTCAAATACATCTTTTGGATCCTTCAGTGCCAAGTTAAAACTCCACAAAAGCCTTGAAAGTATGAGCCGCAACTCCTGATAGGCAACTTTCATGCCTATGCACATATGTCTGCCCACCTGGAAGGGCTGGAATACTGTCATGTCGTCGTTTTTGTTGAGAGTGAGAAAACGCTCTGGAATAAATGAGTTGGGGTTGGAAAAATTGTACGACTGGCGAAATGCGGAGAATTGGTTGAAAACGACATAGGTCTAGAACATATTGTGTCAGCTGTGAAACATTTGACATGAACAAAATGCATCTTACTCCGCCGGGAACCCAGCGATCACACACCAGGTCTCCACCTTCTGGCACGACTCGGGGTAATCCGATGACAACGGGTGGGCCGAGACGCATGCCTTCGTGTATTACCGCGTTGAGGAACGGCAGGTCGCTTGTTGTTGCGACAGTAATATCACTCTCGTTTTGAAACTGTTCTCGAATCTCACGTGTCAAACGATGGAGAACACCTCGGTGTTGAACCAGCATTCTCGTGATGGCGGTCAATGCACTGGCCGTCGTTTCGCTTCCAGCAAAAGCTATCACCAACAGGTTCATGCCCCATTCCTGGTCGGTAAAGTGGTCTTTCTGATCAGTGTACTTTTTCGTTGGTGTTACCCAGTCCGGCCGCTCTACATCTTGTGCTATCCGTTTTTTGGCCTGTGCAAAACTCATCTGGCGATGGTCTACACTCCGCTGCAGAATCCGTTTTGGGATTATGTATCGCAAGATCTTGTCAACAGGGGGGTAAAGATTGACTGCTGCGATCATAGAAAGTCCCCTGCCAAAATCCTGTGCAATCTCAACCCACGGATGGGCCTTCCCGTTGTCAACACAGCCAAAGGACTCGCCATAAGAAAAATCCCCAGCCAGATCAAAAGTGAGAAAATTGAACCAGTCGGTGAGATCTACAGTGTTACGTTTCTTCAGTTGTGCCATGAAGCCGTCAACATGCTGCTCTATAACGGGAGCCTGACTCTTGAGACTCTTTTCTGAGAAAGCGTTGGCAAAAGCACGTCGATACCGTGCGTGAGTATCTTCATGCCAATCCATAATTGTAGTTGGCTCCTCGGGCGACATCTTCTTGAAGAAGGTTCGCGTCTTTTCAAAGGGCTGATGTCCGGACCTGTTGACATAGATGTCTCTGAAGGCCCGACCATCGGCGTAAGACAGCTCGTTTGGTGCTATGCGTACGATGGGCCCATACTTGGCATGAAACTCATTGTAACGCCTGTGGATCTGCCCGCGTTGGGTGGAGACAACGTACGGGAAGCGGAAACAGCGCCATAGTAGTGGCCCGGGGTAACCTCGGAGAGGATGCAGGAACACGTTATAGAAGGCGTATGCGAATATAGGCTTGATCGAAACATGAGCTTCGGCAGGGTGTTGATGGAAACGTTCTTACCACGGTGATAAGCCATATACCTGCAACTATTGGATGCAAGCTAGTCAATGGCACCAGCAGTCGCCAAAAACCTGAAGTTTCGTGGTCATCTGCACTTGCCATGATGATACCTTGGCTGGCTCCTCGTTCTGGTCTGGTTGATTGTGCCTTGGTGTTGGAGTAAGTACAGTACTGCACAGCTGTCAAGCCAGGCGAAAGAGTGGTGGCGAGAAATTGCCCCACTTTTAACGATTCCCTGTCTGGAGTTCAAAAGTCATGATTTCCTTGGGATTGCCATCCACATTCTCGCCGTATCTTGCTCGCTCCTACACATATTCGAAATAAAAGGGTTAGGTATCACGACGCCATGTAAGAGGGGTGAGAAATTCGAAACTTAACAGCCGCGATAAGCGATCCAAGGAGATGGTACAACTGCCCATGGTCGCCTGAATTGGATACGGCTTTAATATTCACCGTACCGACTTCGGCTGGTCCGAGAAACAGAAGCACGCGATAGATTACAGGCAGAACGGGGTGCATCTGCTGTCACGACAGATGTCACAGTCTTAGATGTCACTATACAGCTTACATGGAAACTACCCGTCAAGCTGTTTGAGAAGCACGCCAAAATGCGGATCAAAACAAAACGGACCGTTACCAAGAGCGATGCCAACAATATCAAGGCTGCCTCCTGCAGGCGTTCGTTAGGCTGGGGGAGCGTCGCGGAGTAGTGTGGGATCGCTGAAACAGTTCGCTTCGTGTTCTGACACAATTCACCATGCGAACTCCATGGATTTACAAACAGTCGTTCGAGTACGCTGATCCTTCGCACGGTTTTTGCCTTGCGCGTCCTGACGAAACGTCGGGATGATTTTGTTCATCGTCTCCCCGACGTCGTCCCATGATGTACCGCGGGCGCACCCGCTAGCTTGCTGTGCTCCACAGGTGCAAGCTGACTGCGCAGCGCAGCGAAAAAGAAAGCAGGCTAATATCACTCCTTTGGCCGCCATGCAGCACACTAACACGCCAACATTGCCCCTCTCGTATCGCATACCTACCAGGAATGACTCCCATCGGTTGTCAGACGATAGGAGCGCATTTTGCGGCTTGTGAATATTCGCATCTTGAAGTCCGGAGCACGACTTTGCCCAGCAGACTTCCGCTTATACAGCTTCCCTATAGAGGTTTCACCAAGCATGTTTGCCGGTATCCATGACTAGGCAAGGCGAACCCCCTGCTCGTACTGATATAGAAAACTGGGCCAGAAACAAAAAAAACCTGGAGTCAGCGGGAGAGAATATGCTCAACCTCTTACACAGCGAGCGTCAGGCTAGACGCGCCTAACCGAAGCTGTGCAAAAAGAATGTGTTTTGATAGAGTCGTCATCGATGAGACACCAACGCGACCCATGCCGTAATCCTCAGGCAACGAGGCAGCTATCTTCCCACGTTGCAACGGTCTGACATGGAGCTTATGACTGCCGTATCTTCCGTTGGCCTCTGATATAGACCCAATTAATTAGCCCACATTACGGCTTGAAGCGGGGCTTTCGATAGAGCGTGCATACCGCTATCGGGTCATTTGCTGCCATTGTTGGGCCACATTAGGTCTTTTTATCGGCCAGATGTATGCAAGGCGCCTGCAGCGCACGGACAGCAGGTGAAAGCCAAAGTGCCCAGACCTCCAGCCAGCCTCCCGTTCGGGCACACCAGCGCGAACCCAACCTCCAAGCTGTGGAATTACCGAATCTGTGCCGGCGTTTGACCTTTGTGTGGAAGGTCCGACACTGAAACTGTAAATTCCTTTGAGAACTATTGAAAGAGTGAGACAGCCATGCCACCTCCCTACGCTGAATCCTCGCCATGTTGTTGGTTTCTGCCTTGGCTATGGAGCTGCTGTCCAAGATGCCAACATCTGTCCGCGCCCACATGCGCAAAATAGAGGCTCAGCACCAAAAGAGACAGCGCCACGGGAACGCGGCTCAGCAGAAATACAGATGCCCATCGTAGCGCTCTCCACATTCCTGGATTGGGGCTTGAGTTTGCACGTATCAGCGCTTATACGAGGTACAAGCCTTTTACCCAGCTTGCCAGGAGCGGCAAAGTGTTATGCACAAGAACGGCCACCCTGACGCGCTAGAGCCACGTCCAGGTCTCACCAGCCTTTGGTGTGCATGTCGCTTCAAGGATTGATATTAAAGATCTGGCCAGGATGGTGGTCTGTGTTGACGTACATACACATGGCAGCGCATGCACACCCATGTAGGCCGCCTGGCGAACGGCCCAGGACAAAGTTCAGTGTAGAAGGTATAAGTGTATCCAACCGCCAGCGCCAGAAAGTCGTGATACAACAAGTACTTCTCCAAACACCTCGACATTGGCAAAGAATAAGGGACAGGCTCTTTTGGTTCTACTCAGACATTGCATTATCAACAACTCTCCCAACATCAACTTGTGCGAACATTCGTCAATATGCTCTTCTCCACAATCACAGCAGCATTCTTCTGTGCCACTTCTGCTTATGCAGCTGCTCTTCCCCCAGCTCCTGGAAAGCCACACAATTACACTCCCGCGAAGAACCTCGATAATCTTGCCAAACTCTTCCCTCAAAGTGACCTTACAAGCCCGGATGGCATGGCACTCAAGTATGTTGTACTTGGAATCGGTACACAAAACTATACCTGTGCAAACGCAAGCGCAGTTCCTGGTACTACTGGCGCTGTTGGTAAGTCTTTTTTTTTCAATTGCATACAGAAGCAGTCCTAATGTTTGCCTTCACCAGCTACCTTGTACGATATCGGAACGAAACTCAACAACGACCGAGATGCCAAGTGGAAGATTGCAACCATCTCCCCCCTTGCCCTCTCCATGGCCGAATGGGCCCCCCAACTAGTCGACATGAGTCTTCAGGCTCAAGGCTTTCAAAATGTTGCTGGACACCACTTCTTTGCCGATGTTGCCGGAACAAACACCCCAACATTCGCCTTTGACCAGCTCAGTGCCCCATACCCTCTGTGCCAGGTCGCAAAACTCGGCGCCGTCGATGCACCGAAGACTGCATGCACAGGAAAGAACGGTCTTCCTGCTGTTCAGTGGCTCTACCTGCAGCACAAGGCGGGTATCGCCCAAGGAGGCATCACCACTGTCTATCGTGTGGAGACTGCTGGTGGCAACAAGCCTGCAACATGCCAGGGCATGCCACCTACATGGGAAGTCAAGTACGCTGCACAATGTAAGTCCATAGAGAATAACACATGTCTCCACATTGCATTCGGCCACTAACGCCTGTCAGACTGGGTCTATGGTCCAAAGCAGTAAGCGCTGGGCTTACGACGCTCGTTTCGACAACGTTACGACAACACCAAACTTTCTGTGCTCCCCATGACCTTTTGTCTATGCATAGGGTGGTCGCGCGCGGCTACAACTATCTTTCCAAGGACTGGGATCATGGGGTCAAGTGTGCAACCTTTTTCTTCGTCACTGTATCTTTTTTTTTCTCCTTCTTCATATTTCTTGTTTTTAATCACGATACCCCTTCTGTTCTAGTGTGCATGGATTTTACCAATGTTTTAGTCTTGCAAGGGAGGCACTATCCAAGGCAATACGGCGTTTATAGAAACTATGCATTGTTTGGTTTGCATAAACAACTCATTCAGTGCTCTAACTCTTACAATCTTGGTTTTCGACTACTGACATCGTGACCTTGGAATATTCTTCTTCACATGTCTGCGTGGATCTCTCGTATCCTTTTCGTCAGTCTCCACCCATAGTCAACGTGTCAATGCGTTACACAAGGACCCTTAGCTGAACCCACATCAACCATACTACTGGCCTCGTTCTGGCCACTCTGACAAAATGGCACGAGACCACTCTCCTACCCTGCATTCGCCCAACACCCTCTTTCTCAACTCCACACATTACGCCGAAGTCGCCTTATCTCGCCGCGTCGTTCTCCACACAGCCGCCGCGGCACAAACAACACCCGTGCCGTACGTAATTCCCTTTGCACTGGTCCACCGCGCCGTACTACACCTACGTACAGCCTCACGTTGCGGCACAGCGTAGATCAGGCTGCTTACGCCGTGGCTCAACCCAAGCGTACGGCGTCTTCGTCTCTTTTGCGCTATTTCCTACTAGTCACACTCTTTTTTTTTCTTTCTCGTTCTCGCATGCAAAATACGTAGTAGTAGAAGTTTATGTAATCCAACATCCCAACATCCAACACGCCCCCTTCAGCCCGTCAAGTGACATTGTGCCACGAGATTCTTAGTAGTCCCACCTGCCCTCCCTCCCTCTCATAGCACCTAGCCTTATTCAGTCCCAACTCCTACGCGCCCACATCCTCCAAAGCACAAGAAAAAAAAAGAGCATTGCGTGACCTTTCCTTCCCCAGCCCTAATCCTCTCTTCGCTAGTCTCCACCGCCCTTACCACACTCAACACCCTCGTACACATACCCCGCACACCCTTACCTCCCTCCCCCCCCCAAACATACGACGGAAGAGAAAATAAAAAACCGTAAGAAGGGTGATTGGTACCGAGGACGGAAGGGGTGGGTGTGGGCGTACTACATTGGTGGCTGTAGCGGCGGGTATTTAGCTTGGCGCTAAGACGGCTGTCCATGGCCGTGGTACAAAAGTGGGTAAAAGGCAAGTAGTGCCCGCATGGGGGCATTTGGCGGTTAGAAGGGGAGGGGTCCGGGGTTTGGGTTCTTTGGAAGGGCGTAGGAGTGGGTAGGGAGGGAAGTATGGTACGCTACTGTAGTATTCTTCTTTTTTTGCTTTTTTAGACCGTATTGGAGTTTTGCGGGAGGAGGGGGGTTGGGGCTGCAAGGGCGATAAGAAGGAATTATAGCTGCAAGGGGAGTTCCAGGGGTTTGGGGGTACGTATGGAGTGCTATGAAGAAGGGGGGCTGGGGAGATGAGGGTGTGATCTAGGGTACGTACGTCAAGTGGTAGTCACGGGTGTCACGCTGGAAGATCAGAGTGGATTTTCTGTGTATACGCATTGTATCACGGGTCTCTTCGTATCTATCTGTCTATTTCTCTGACAATGCGAGAACGAATTGCATATTCAAGAGCACCAAGCATCCTCTTCCTTAGAGATTACCAGAAACCGACTTCACCGGCCGATGCATATTGGCAATACTCTCTCGGCTCCGCTCCACTCCTTTCGTCCACACCGGGTACATTTCCTTGTACCAATTCGAGATGCCCGCCCGATCGCCATTAGCAATCTGCTCCGCGAGCAAGAGCGCATCGAGAATGGCTGCGTTGGCGCCGTTGCCCCCGACAATCGGTTCCGCATGAACAGCTTCACCTATGAAGCACACCCCAGTGTCTTCGGATAGCCTCTGGATGTCTGAGAGCGGGGGAAGTAGGGTTCGCATGAGCCAATGAAGGATCCTGTCACTGCGCATCTTCTGCGCATCGAAAACTTCTGAGAAAGGGGGCTGGAGACCATTGAGAGTCCGGGCTTCTTCGAACAGTTGCTCGGGAATCTTTTTGGCGTCTTCCTTGGATCGGTTCGGCTGGTGGAGTGGATCTGAGCCACTGCGTACTCCGCGTGAGTATATCCAGCTGATACTGACTTCCTCAGCTTTCTTCTCGTTGACGCTAATGTTGAGCACCACGTCATCGTGTTTCGCTTCAATGACATTTGCTTCCCTCATGGCAGGCGCGTACAGTTTGTCGAATGTCTCGCGATCGAGTTTCCTCTTCCCATTGAAGACGGTATATGGCATGACACTAAGCTGTGCAGATGGCAACAAGAGCTTCCGAGTACTCGAATGCACGCCATCCGCTGCGATAACGATGTTTGCTGCATTTGTCTCCCCATTCTGAAACTGCAGCTTAGTACCTTTCGAAGCAGGTTCTATGCTCTCGAGTGAATGTTCCCACCGGATATCGAGTCCCTCACGCAACAACTGCTCAAGCTTGTTTTTGTTGGCGCGGAAAGAAGAATGAGTGTCGTACAAGCCGTCATGACTTGGAAGCTCTACACTTGAGCCAATCTTCCCATAGCCATCGTTGTCTGCGTCGACAGCTACCCGTCTCTTGAACGCATCCTCATCAATGTCGAGAAGTTTGAGAAGTGGTTTGTAAGCTGTCGCATGCAAAGTGATGCCATAGTTGAATCTAGGCTTCAAAGCTGCTTTTTCGTATAAGATCGCTGGAATACCACGTCGTAGGAGACTGCGGCCCAGCGTCAAGCCTGCAATGCCTGCACCGATGATGGAAATAGAAGTCGTCATTGCATTGTGTTTTTTTCCAAAAATGTATTGTGACATTGAAATCGATAGAGGTTGTACAGCCGATGGTCTGGACTCGATGGCAGATCGTGATCGAGCCAATCAGCGTGCCGCGGAGCACAGATGCTCCAACTTTGGTACACAAAGGTAAACACGACGTCGATAAGCATGCATTGCAAGCTTCCCACAACTGTTTCTCCTTTCAGGTATTAACAATAATCCATTATATCAAGTATATACACTCTTGTCTCTCATTAAGCATTATAGGTAGATGTAGCAGAATGGGTCTGCATCCAACGTGTCCAGGAGCTCCTCAATCATCTTGGGCTCTATGTTCAGCCAGTTCATCTGGACAATGTCCTTGAGGGTAGTCTTTGCACTGTTAGGTTGGAATGCAGCGACATTGCCCGCGATAGTGTTGGCTTGGTCAAGGTGTAGAGCTTGCCAGATCCACCACACACGGTCCACCATGGCGTGGTGCAGATAGAAGACAGGGTCGTTGGGACTGCTGTAAAAGTCTCCACCGTCTCCACCCATGGTGTAGTGTCCAGAAGCGTGCAGGCCCAAGAAACCATCACCGAAGCGACCTTGAAGTTCATCCTGGAAAGTACCAATGTTCTTTGATGCAGCACCGATTGTGACGTTGAGCAGATTCTCGTTGGTGAGCCAGGTCTTCGCTGCATACGACGTGATGTCTCGCTTTGCGCAGCGAGGGTTGAAGGCGAGTGGCTGTGCGACCTTGGATTCTCCGGCCATGGCCGGGCTCACAGGACCGAGGTTGATTTGGACACTGACACGATCAGTCAGGAGAACTTTCAATGTGTGCACTGGAGTACTAACTTTTTGAATGGCCCGCTCTTGATGCAACCTCCACCGTTGCCTGAAGGGAGGAAAATGGTTCCGCCGCCACCTACACTTCCGTTGTGCGCGACAAAGGAGCCATCGCCACCCAAACTTGTATCGGATCCGTCAAAAACAGGAGACTTTGTAACGTCATCCTGGTAACTGAACCAGTTCCAGTAAGGCTGATAGCCAGTGTAGCCACACTCTTGCCTCAAAGTCTTCTCATAGGCAAAAGTGAAATACCTATGCCAGGTCAAGAAGTTTCCAGTGCCGTGGATGGATCGCGTCTGGTTGATGTGCTGTCCGACAAAGTCATCAAATCGCGTTTTGGCGCCTGGAACCAATGATGGGTCGGACTTGGAAGGCAGGGACTGTAAGCACTTTACAGCGCTGATGTATTCTCTGCGCTCTTTCTTGCTCAAATGGTCCCTTGGGGGCTATTAGTTTGATTGACAAGACACAAGAACACATCAACTTACCAATTCCTCCTGACGGGTGCATTGAAGACAGAGCAACTCGATCTCCTTTCAAGGCTACCGTTGGTCTCCGCCTCCTTCAATGCCGCAATCGCTTGATCCTGTAGATCTTGGATAACATCACGGCGTTGAAGGGCAGCAGACTCGACTACGCTGGCCAAGGCCAGGACAGCGGTAGGGAAACCAAGGAAACGCATCTTGTACGGGAGCGTGAAACAAGAGAGTTGGCTGCTGAAAAAGAAAACTTCAGTGTAGAACTGCGTACAGCGCGTCTAATATGGGCTTTATAGGGCGTAGGCTGACTTGCATGTGCATGCATCGACATGGATCGGCCATCTGTATCCGCACCCAAGGCCGTACATGAGCGATTGGTGTTGGCTTTGTGTCTAGAAATAGCTGGTGATGAGCCCGATTCATGTCCTAGACGCAGCCCTTGTGAAGCCCATACCCACCTAAGAGGATGTGCATGACTCGTGTTATACCGAGGTCTTGGGCTGTGGGTCGAAGTAGGGCACTTGAATATCACTATTGTAGTGTAGATTATGGAAGTGCGAGGTAGATTATATGATGGTGAGGCGATTGTTAAGGCGTCCGTTGCTCATTGCTTTTTGCCATCGACAATATGCAGAGACGTCCATCGCAATTCAAGAATTCATTTGTTCGAACAGCCCATATGCAGGATATCTTGGTCCATGTGGGTTCGCAGGATTGCCAAGCATCTGTCAAGCCGCCTTCGATATACCCGCGCAGATGGAACGCATGAGGGGCCAAAAGTTGATTCGCATTCGCGAAGCGGAGAACGGGTAAGATTAACCATGGAACTGCGCCCTGCGCCATGCCAAACCTACATTGCAACCAAGTCCTTCTCTTTGCCTCAAGTGGCGTTTTGCAAAAGGCTGAGCGCAGGAAAAGTTGAAGCGAGCCATACTGGTTCGGTACGCCGGGTTGGTGGAAGATTGCCAGGGGAAGTGCAAACCGTGCCGCGAAGGAAGGGCGGGACGACGGGGGACGACGGGGCCCAGGACGATTACTTTGGTTGTGGTTGGTGAGTCTGCAGGGACCGCAGCTAATTAATTAAACACGTTCGCAACTACGTCTCAAAGTAGTCCAACACCCGCCGGGTGATCCTACAATACACAGCCATCGTATTGCTGCATTCTCCGTCCACACACACACACCAACTACGCCACGCTCATCAACTTTTACATATCAGAGCTAAAAGTCGGGCTTGTGCTACTATCAGCAAAACTCCCTTCTGGTTCCTCAGCTTTCCACAACTGTCTCCTTCAATTTTCTACAAAGACTCAGGATATCCAAGAGCCTGGAACTTCTCCGCAAAGAAAATAAGGAAGACCTTGGCGAATCCGGGAGGATTGCAGTGTTGACAATTTACACGACTTGGTGTTCGCGAGCACGCCCAATAGTAGCAGCTCTGTTGTGGCCATGGCAGCAATCCGCTTGGATGGCCAAGATGCCTAGAAGGACAAACATGGACGAGTTCCACATCGCGCAGCCATGTCCGATAGCACATATACCTAATGTAGCAGCTGCTGTGATGCATGGTGGGAAGAACTGTCTGATCCCAAGGTAATGCAAGAGCGTCATGAGCGCGCTGTGAAACGCTTGGTTTGGAACCGAGTTCCTGTCTGCCAGCGCCAGAGAAAGAGGGTACTATCGTATCTTGACTCTTTTAATGTTCGATATTCCTATCTTTTGTTGTTCAGTTTTTGCGCCCCACTGGTTTGCGCTCGTCTGCGACGATCATGTCTTCGACTTCTGTGGGCCCTCCTGTGGACCCCAAATGGGCGGCCGAAAACAACCTTCCTCGCCTTCTCGCATTGACGGGCGTTTTCCATATCGCCGCATTGATTAGTGTCGGCCTCCGAATATTTGTCCGTGTGGGCTTACTGCGGTCGCTGGGGAAGGACGACATTGCCATTGTGCTCGCTGCTGTATGTACTCGGGCTTCACTCTGTTGTTGAGCATTCCTAACAGATGGCAGCTTGCGGCTCTGGGTGGATGGATTTGCTTCATTCTTCAGGGAAACCATGGCTTTGGACGACATGCTAAGACGGTTTCCAAGGAAGATATGCAGGAGTTCAGTCACATAGGCTTCTTTGGCAGTATTATTTCCGCCATTGGTGCCCTTGGGTTGTTGAAGATTTCCATCGCTCTCTTCCTGTTGAGACTGAAAAACAACAACATGTGGAAGTGGTATTCGCGCTGTCTGTGGGCACTGATAGGTAAGACCAGCGGTCGAGAACCTGAGTCATGGCTCTAACATCCTCGAACAGCTTTGGTAACAATCTACACGATCGGCGCATGGCTCACCTTCTTCCTGTATTGCAAGCCCATGGAAGCAATGTGGACCAGGCAAGGTGTCTGCTACAGTCAAAAGATGTTTGTCGCATTCGCACTGACAAATACGGGTAAGTGCATAGCAAATAGTGTGAAGCCTCCACTGACATGCGATAGCTTTGAACATCTTTACTGATGTCTGCTTTGCAACTCTGCCAATTCCCATCATCTGGAGTTTACAGATGTCTCGGACTACACGTATCAATTTGATCGGTGTTCTCAGCCTCGGATACATGTAAGTAGTATGAAGGGCCCAAAACCCTCCCGTTACTAACAATCCAAAAGTGCCGTTGCCTTAGGAATAGTAAAAGCCAACTACCAAGTCAAACCAGACACAGACAGGACATTGTAAGTCCCCCTTCCAACCCACCTTCTCCAACTTTACTAACTCTTCTCATAGCAACCAGCACCTAAACGTCTACGGCTTGTAAGTTCCCCCCCTCCCCCTTCCAACAAAAAAAAACCCCCCTCCCCCCATAGTCTAACCCACAATCCAGCCTCCAACTCAACGTCGGCATAATCGCCGCCTGCATCCCAACCCTGAAACCTCTCCTCCGCACACACCCCTCATCCTCCCGCACCCCCCGCCGGAGCGCCTACAACGACATCGAGCACGCCGCCACAATCGGCAGCGGCCGCGCCGCCAAACCGCGCTCCAGCATCCTCGCCACAACCACCAAATCCACCACCTCTCCCACAACAACAACCTTCACCCTCGACTCCACCTTTGAAATGGCAAACCGCGGTAGTCTTCGCGAGAAACTAGCAGGCGGAGGTGCTGGTGCAGGCGGAGTGAATATGAATCAGCAGAAGAATGTCGTGTATAGTGATGGGAATGGGGTGAGGACGGGGAGTCAAGAGAGGATTTTGCACGAGGGGGGAGTGGAGGATGCGAGTGGGATTCTTTGTACGACGGAGGTGGTGGTGGATAGTGTGGAGAGGGTGAGGAGGAAGCGGTGAGTGGACATGGGGTAATGTGGATAGGGGGTTTTTTTGTTGTTGGAATATTTGNGGGGGGGGGGGAGATGGGTTATGTAGAAAAGCTTTATGGTTTGCTTAGTTCTGATACCCATTGTTGTCTTTTTCTTTTGTAGGGGTTTCATAACTGGATAATTTCTTTTTTTTTGAAAGTGAGACATGGAAATTCTGTATGATGAGCAAATGGTATCGTATAGTCGTACCTGGAGAACCAACCGTGCCATATACGTCCTTTTGCCCTCTGTGAGCAGCAGCCGGCACACTGAGGTACCTATTGACCAGGACTGTAGCATGCATTCCATGGATAATTTGCTATGCTCGAAAAACCCACTACTGGCTCCGAATATCAGTGACCCAAGCACACATTCCGAAATACTCTCTGAAATACCGCCTGTTCACCAAGCTAAGTTATCACTAATGGCACAAACATTCATGTACACAGCATGAGCAAGACAGTCATACAGGAGTTCCATTTCAACCTGAACCTAAGATGAATGCCCTGCCATTATGCATTCATGACCATGACTATCTCCTCTTATCATCACCTACAAGTGTCCATGCAAAATACCAGACATCTCATTCATGTCCACCTTGACCGTCTTTTCCCATCACATGCTCTGCTGACTCCGACAAGAACGGTTTTCTGAAGTAGACGATGCTGTGGCATATATCTACCAACCTCCATTGCCACCGTCATTCCAAGAAGCTTCACCCGTAGGAGCAGCAGAGTCGCCCGTATTTCCACCCCAGCCACCACCAGCAACGCTACCGGTATCATCGTTGGTATCAGCAATCGGAGCTTTGCAACGCTGTCCAGGTTAGCACGGATTCCATTCACGGCATGAGGGATGCTCACCTTGGGGCCATGGCCCAGCTCGCCGCAGTTGCTGCACTTGTGCTTGGACCAGTCCTTGGGTTCGGGACAATCACGAGAGAAGTGGCCCATCTGCTCACAATTGCGACAGATGACGGTGTCGGGATTACGAGGCTGGTCGCACTCCTTGGCCATGTGCTCGGTCGATCCACAGTTGCGGCAGGTACGGGCAGCAACGTTAGGGCACTATGAGCGGTCAGTATGTATTGGTTAACCAGTATCAATGTGTGTACTGACATCCTTGGAAAAGTGACCAATCTCGTTGCACTTGCGACACTCGACGCCCTCGGCTGAACGAGGCTCGGGACAATCCTTAGCGTTGTGGCCTTCCTGCTTGCAGTTCTTGCAGGCATAGGGGTTGTAACGTTCTTTGGTACAATCGCGGGATCGATGGCCGATTTCCTTACAGTTGATGCACTGGATCTCGGGCTGGTGCGTCTCGCGTTCAACCTGCTCTTGTTTGCAGTGCTGCTTATGTGTCAGTCTAGAATTCATCAAATGAGGAGATCGGGTTCGATATACTGACCTTGCGGATGTGACCAAGCTCACCGCAGTTACCACACAGTGGTACACCACGATCTTGAACATCGCCACAAGATGCAAGACGTTCCATGTTCTGAGCAGGGCTCTCGGGCCAGCCTTGGGCCAACTTGGGGCGACGAGGCTTTGGAGAAAGCTGGAAAGTCAGGACATACTCGCGATCAGGGTTGCCAACGAGATCGACAATGGTCATGTTGATGGGGATCTCCTCCTTTTTAGCAATCAGATAGATGTCGAGACCATCTTCGCGCAGAGCTTCCTCCACAGCTGGAAGATTGAACTGGTCCATGGTGGCACGAGCGTACGCCTTCAGACAGACACGGAACACATCCAAGTCTTTTTCCTTAGCGGCATCGATGAGAGCAACCCAGGCAGCTTCGGCTCCCATCTCGGGAACGCCAGACCAATTGACTGAACGACGTGACTTGCAATCAATCGCACGGTGACCCGGCTGGTCACAGAGCTTGCAAGTTCCATCGAATGGACGCTGGACACGCTCGTTGGTACAATCAGCCTTGTTGTGGCCAACTTGACCACAGTTGTAGCACTCTCCGGTCAGACCGATGCCGCCCTCTGGCTTCGATGGGCATTCACGGGCGTAATGGCCTGGCTGCTTGCAGCTGTTACTTGTGTCAGTATAGCCAAAGTGAAGGTTCTGAGTCTCACTTACATCCGACAGCTATCGTCAGCACCACCGTCGGCACCACCACTATCTGCACCAGCATCGACACGAGTGTTGGTATTGCCACCGCCCCAGTCATCACCGCCAGTTGGAGCAGGATCCCAGCCAGATGTGTCGCCTGCAGACAAGATCAGTATTTGCTCATAGCATTTGCGTGCCATGCCGTGCCACATACCTGAAGTGCCGCCCGTGTCCCAGCTCATAGTGAGTGACACTTGCTGCAGTGAGGCTGCGGTGTTGTCTGCGTGGGGTATAGTAGAAAAGGTCTTGCAGTAGAAGAGCAAAACTTGAAGCTGATGATTGGCACGAGTTGAAAAAGTTTGTGCCGTGTAGATGAGTAAGTCGCACTGGTGCCTCCTGCTTCATCTACCACGCCAGGGGTCCGTGCTCAGACCTGCAGGTCAAACTGAAGGTGAGAGTGAGTAAGGCGGCATGCCATGCAACAGAGAGTATCACAGGTGAGAGGGCATCTATGAGTCGGGCTGTAGGTGAAGTCGAGGGACGCAGACAATGCTGCAGTCACTACTAGAGGAAAGATTGAAGATGTTTTACGTTGTTGGATACATAAGTGAAAATCAACTCATCTGGACACATGCCACCCAGAAAACAAGGCGTGCCGTGTCTCTTTGTCCTAAAAGAAAAAGATGCTGGTATCATGTCATAAAACTCCCACGCAAGACAACAAATGCCTATTCGTAATGCGACGACACGCTCCCTCAAGTCACACAAACCTAAAAAACTCCCACAAGATGCGTAGGCAGACATGCCCTGATTTGGCTTCCCATTCAACAAATAACCAAACATGGCCGAACCTAGACACCACGGAACTAATGAAAATGTTAGCATAGGCTCTTCGTCTAGTGTTTTCTGTGTTATACTTACTGCTCGGACAACCAAGAACCACATTGCACCAATGAACCTGAAAGCTGACAAGCCAGCAACACTGTACAAAACAACAGCCAGGTAGATGGTAGCAGCCTCGTTCCTCTTCTTCTGCGCCTCATCCGGAGTGCTGACGGTGAGCTCCAGGCCACCCGACTGCAGAACCAAAGCCGTCAGGCCCAGGTTGCAAAACATCCAGAACAAGACAACACCGGATCGGAAACCTTTGTAATAATCTTCCTGCTTCTCACTTGCTGAAGGAACCTTCTTCTCCTCAACCCACTTACTGCTAAACACCTTTAGCTCTTCCTCATATTGTGTGTTGAGATCGGCATCGTCAGTGGGTGCTTGAATGTCGGCTTTACCGTCGGCTTTTGTGACGACTGAAGGCAGCTTCTCTGGTTTATCATCTCCCTTTGTACCCCAGGTGATGTCGTGCGTGTTGCAGAAAGCGTAGACGTTGAGAATATTGATGTATGTCGGGGTCATAAGAAGATATTGGAAGAAGGAAGTGAACATGTGCCACGGATCCAAGAAGATGATGGAGACGAGGAACCACATGACGTACGTCGACAGTAGCGAGATGATCAATGTCGCGAAGATCCTGTCTCTGAACAGGTCCGCAAAGTTGAAGCCTCCGTTGGCAGCGATCTGGCCCTGGACGGACCGGACACTGATGAAGATGGATGCAAACATGAGGTATGTCATGATGATGCACCAAAAGTAGACCATGGACATGTACCACTTGTTAGAACCCTGCGGTCGATTACCCAATGACAGGATGAAACAGGTAATCAAGACAGCGATGTAGAGCCATTCGAATACAATGAACAGAACCTTGCCAGCAGTGCCGAGTTCGTTTTGTAGAGAAGCCGTGAGAATGCGGAAGACCAGGAAGAAGTTACCGAGGGCGAACCAAGCGAAGATCATGCTAATCGTCTGGTAGACGAACTCGACGAGGAACATCATTTTGCGCAAGAAAGAGTGATCACTGCGGAAGATGTCGAAAGAGTGAGCCAGGGCATAGACAGCAGCGAAGAAGGAACCGTTAAGCCAACGACGACGCTGACTGATGAACTCGGCCATGGTGGTAGGAACGTCAGTTTCTCCAGTGGCCGACTTTACGTATTGCAAGATCCAGTGGCAATTGCGTTTAGAGACCAACTCGAAACACAGAATACGATCTTCAGCCAAGTACATGTTGGCAGTAAAAATGCCAGCATTGGCGCCGTGCATCTTCTCGCCAGCAAAATACTTCTCCAGTGGGCCTTGTCCAGTCTTATCGTTCTGGAGAGCGACATATCTGTAGGCTGAGAAAGCACCGGGAAGCACACTGATGAAACCAAAGGCGGATTCCAAAGGCTTGTCCAGAATATTACTCATCTTGTACTCAAAGTTCTGAGTTGCTACCAGCGGGTTCAGAAGCTTCTTTCCATGCACCAACATGGCCTTGATCTCACCACAGGCACCAGCGCACATGGGCTCGAGATCAAAGGCTTTCCATAGTTGGTAGACGGAATCCTTTCCAGGTTTGGTACCCGCATCGATGAGCACGCAGACGTTTGGATCTAGGACGGCACCGAAAGCCTGGAAGAACCAGCGATGCGAGTTGATCTTCTTCTGGTTCTTTTCTTTGAGACAGAACAACATCTGCACAGGGGTGTTGCCCTTTTTGACGTTGACGACACCCTTCTTGATGTCGAGAGTCATCTGGGTAGTGTACTCGTAGATATGGGCAGTTACGTCCTTGCCGTTAACTTGCTGCTTGGCAATGCCGTCCTGGTATACACCGAGACCAGCTAGTACGGCACGGGTTCGCGGATTGATCTTGGCACGACCATCGCTGACGACGCATACGACGATCTTCTTCCACGCGTCCTTACCCCACGTTTTACTGTTGGTTCGCGAGTTCATGTACTCAATGTTCTTGATTACGCCACTCATTGTTCGCGCAAACAGCTCGTCTTCCTCGTTGTACATGGTAATGACAATGAACAGCTCAGT